AAAACCTAAAGGAACAAGAAAAAGGTACCAACCTTTTGAGCGTCGTAGGTAGTGGTGATGCTCATGGGATAAGTTGAGAGTCTGTCGTAGAGAACGTGAGGTGAGGAGAGGAGTGAGAGGAGGGAGTGAGAGGAGGGAGAGAGAGGAGGAAGAGAGAGACGTTAGGAGGAAGAGAGAGGAGGGTGAGCTAAAAGACTTGGCCAATGACGCTTGCTGCTAGCTTGCTCGTGGGCTTGGGGCGAGACTATGGCATCTGTGCATGGCATTTGTGAGGAAAACTGGGGGAAAAGGAGAAAAGTATGGTGCTCCGGTTTACCGTTTTGTGCGGTTTTCTTGTCCGCGAAGGAGTTGGTGTTGGGTTGTTTGTTTGTTTGTTTGTTTGTTTGTTTGTCTTGGGGTTTTTTCTTTGTTGTTCTTGTTTTTGTTTTGTTTTGTTGTTTTGTTGTTTGTTTGTTCGCATTTTTTTTTCGGGGAGAGGGGTGTTTTAGATTCCTCTCAACTAGGAGAAAATTGAATAAATTAGGTCGATGTGCTTCTCTTTACAGGAACAAAATATAACCACACACGTGTTACTGAAATGTGCTTGATATTATTGTGACATTTAGCTCCATAGCCACTGGGCAACTGAATACCCCTTTAAAGACACTTAAAATATAGATTTGTTTACTTTTTGTTTAACCCCCCCCCCCCAATAAAACAAAACAAAACAATACCAAACCAAACAAAGAGAAATGAAAATAAACGTGTTTAGTTTTGTTTCTTTGTTCGTTTGAGAAAGAAGTATATCAACACAATGATGGTCATTTAGTTCTGGGAAAAGGCAGACAGACAGACAGACAGACAAACAGACAGACAGACAGACAGACAGACAGACAGACAGACAGACAGACAGACAGACAGACAGACAGACAGAGCGCTTACATGTATGGCTAGACATGACAAAAAAGAAGTCTGTACCCACCACCCACCTACTCACATGTGTTATGGACTCACCATAAATCTGACCCATCCACCCACCATCCCACTAGTGTCATGGACTCACCTACCCACCCACCTGCCCACCACCTAATCCCCACCAACCCGTCACCCAACTCCCTCCAACCCACAACCCAACTTCCATCAACCACCTTCCACCCACCACCATCACACCAGAGTTATAAACTCGCGTAACATCCGACCCACCCATCCATCAAATCTACCACCCACAATCCCACCAGTGCTATGGACTCACCCACCCACCAACTTAAAACCAACCTCCCACAAAGCTACCACCCACCTCCCACCAACCTACCACTCACCTCCAACCCACTCCCATCTCCCAGCCACCTACCATCAAACTACCACCCACCTCTCACCAACCTACTACCCACCTCCCATAACCCACCACCCACCACCATCCCACTCACGTAACATCCGACCCACCCATCCATCCACCCACCAACCTACCACCCACCCTACCACCAAACTACCACTCACCCACCATCCCACCACTATCATAGACTCACCTTACATCCCACTCTTGTGGCCAGCTCCAGGGCTTTTTCATTTAGCTCCATAGCCTGGGGGAACAGGGGGAGCAATCGTGACACAAGCATCACTATCATCATCATCATCATCATCATCATCATCATCATCATCATCATCATCATCAT